GCGCGAGCGGGGCTGGCGCTGGTCCCGCAGAGAAACCTGCCAGCTGTGACAGGGCAGCTTCCGCCTGAGGCCTGTGAGTCTGGTTGTTAATTTGAAAGAGAAACAGAGGCAGCACAGAGCGGGCGGAGGGGGTCCGCGCAGTCAGGACCTGAGCCCAGCTCCTGGGCTGTGTGATGGCTTCAGCATCGCACGAGTTCCCGCCTCAAACACGGAATCGGTGCAGCAGTGATGACGCCACAGGGAGGGTGACCACGGAAAAGGCCCTGCACACCCTACCGCTCCCTCAGCGAGCTCCGGCCACGGCGACGCCCTCTTCTCGCCCCTGGAAGGGGCCGCTGGCTCTCCGCCGGTTCCTGACCATCTCGCTCCCGTTTAAAACGTCCTTCAAGTCTTTCTGAGACAACGTGGGCTCATCCCTGGCCCAGTCCCGCCCATCAACCTTCCCCGCTCCCCTGCTCAGCGCTGTCTAACTTCGGCTTCGGGCTCGAGGCGGCCAGGACTGAGGACAACGCCGAGCCCAGGACAGACCTGTCAGGCCGACACCAGCGAAGCGTTGCAGGTGAGAGGCGGCCGCGGGCGGCTCCAGGGCTCCGTGACGGCCGGTCACTTTCCCACGCCACCGCGGCCAAACGCCTCTCCCCCGGCGCGGGGGCGGGAAACGCATCGGCTGCCCTGTCCTTTCTCACTCGGAGCACCGAGTGCCCCGTTTTCCCCTCGGGGGACCCGTCCCGGGAACTGCCTGGCCACCCCGTCATTTCTCCTGGCAGCTGGGCCAGCAGGCCGCTCAGACGCCAGGCAAGCTGCAGCTGGCCCAGCCCGGCTGGAGGCGACGGCCACGCCTCCTTCCCTATGTGGCAACCTTCCTGCCACAGGTCACAGGTCGGACGGTGTCTGGGACGTGCACCCTCTGCTCGAGGAGGAGGACTGCTTCCTGCCTGTGCCTGGGGAGTGGAGCTGCTGTGCACGGCGATCGCGCACGGAGGAATGCCGGCGGACCAGTCCCCTCGCCAGCATCAGATAGGAAAGGAAAACAAGAGCTGGCACCAACGCCAGCTCTCACATTTCTCTTTCAGAGTCATATTTAATAAGGTTAATTTCTGAAGAATGCATTAATTCCCTACCTGGTTCAAAACAGAACCCACTCGGAGACCACTCAGACCTACAAAACACACACATTCGTGGAAGGCTCACTTATGTAACTATTTCTATGATCTTATAAGATCGCCAACTTAATTTAAAAATTTTTTATTCTAGGTAATCATGTTTCTATACCTCCTTTAGTAAAAAGAAAAGTTTTTTTTTAAATCACTACATTGTATTTTTAGCCTCCCAGCATCTAACAGGAAGTGAAAGCTGAGTGCCATGAGGTATAAAGCAGCCTACGAAACAGCTTCAGTTTTAAACAAAAACCAACATTTACAAGCGCAGACACCTCCTCCGTTCCTGGGGCCAGCAAACGGATAGCCAGGCTTTTTTGTTACAAAAATAGGATGGAGTAATTATATCCACCGAACTCACAATGGCCTGCTCACTGGAGAGTAACACTGTAATTTTTCTTCAAAGACAGGACATTGGAAGAAAAAAGCCCCTAATTCTGTAAAATAAGGAAAAATTCCAAACCCTTGGGCGCCACTTACAGGCACAAAGCCTCCACTGACTCCAGCTGCGACCCCAGGGCCAGGGGCAGCCTGGAACCTTCTATTTTTAATACGAGTATTATTTATGCAATTCACACTTCACAAATGCATTTTCTACACGTTCGATGTCTACATCCAAAGGTTAAACACGGAAGGAAATTCTGGAATAGAATGTCCTGGAACGCTCTGCAGACAGAAGGGTCCCGGACCCGAACCACTACTGCAACATGAAAACGGTCGCGATGGAGTTCCCTCCTGGAGTATGAATGTCACTATTGTCAAGAACATTAAAATGCAGAGTTCAAATGAGACTTTACTGAGCAGCTCACAATGCAAGTGTTTATACCAACAGATTCAAATGAATTTTAACCCTCTTGACAAGGAGATGGGGTGTGGGGGGTGGGGGGGAAGCCGCTGTATTTCAAAGGCTGGAGAATAAACCTTTTACCACAAATAAAATCTTCAGGGATGACATTCGGGCGAGCAATCGAGCATTCTGGTGAGTGAGACTCATTCTTAAGAGATGACTTGCTGATAAGCCATCATCGCATGGACTTTGCGGTGATAATGCACCGTCCACACGGAGGGGAGAGCCGGTTATCAATGCAAACGTCACAGCGGCGGCGGCTCCCGCAGCGCCCGGCTGCACCCACAAACAGTGGTCCCCCCAGAGCCGGGACAATGACCAGGTTCGGGGTTCGCGTTTTCTTCCGGAGCTTGTCGGTAGCTGGTTGCTTTCAAAGAATCACTCTCGCCACGTCCGCCCCATCCGCTCGGAC